AAGGGTGTGTTCTAGCTTCATTGTTTTACATGCTGCTGTCCAGTTTTCTCAACACCATTTGCTGAAGAGACTGTCTTTATTCCATTGTATATTCTTGCCTCCTTTGTCGAAGATTAGTTGACCAAATATATGAGTTTTAAGTGTTGAACATCTTAGTAAAATTAAAATGTTTATCTTTTGGGGGATTGTTTTGCTTTATTTTGCCTTTTCTTCTGTAATCAAGCAGCCTATTGTTTTGTGGTATAAAATTATCCCAGGTTCTTAGGTTTCATAAGTATTAGTGAACCATATGAAATTGCCATTTTATGGGCCAAAATTGGTTGAATGGTATTCTCCACCAAGCTTTGTTTCTGATGATCTAATCTTCCTTTCAACCAGGGACCTTATAATTACTGTGAAACCTCACCTATTCGGTTGTGAAACACTAAGAGTTTAGTGAGCAGTGTTCCCCTCTCCCCCCCATTCCTTTCGATGAGGAACATGAGGCACTGATGAGTTTAGTGATTAGGCTGATATTACAGAGAGGTTATTGAAAGAGCTGGGAATGGAAGCCAGGAATCCTGGTATTATTTTCTGCTGTTCTAGATACAAATTAAGCTTTCATTGTGTTGGTAATTTCAGTATATTCACCTACTTGTGAATGTACTGAGTATCACTTTTAATGTAATATTATTTCCCCTTTTTCTCTCAATATGGGTAATCAGATTGGGGTGAATGACTTCTTTGATCAAGAAATTTTTTTTTCCCACAGCTTTAGTGAAGCAAATTGCTGTTAGCTAAAATGTTACATTATATAGTGACTTTTAATATGAGAAAGTATGATTTTTATTTCTTTTATTACTTTTACTAGAAAAAATGAGTTTCACTCCAAAGAAGCCGGCTTGTGCTTAAAAAAAGTTTTAATTTTTTCTGGGAAAAAAAGAGAAGAATAGGGTGTTCTTCATTGAAATTTTGTCTTTTTATAATGCTTTTATATATGTTTCAAAGTCTTTTTTTCTTAAAGTAAATGATGGTATTTAAAATTACAAAAACAGTATTTTAGATTCTCTAGTACTTAACAACTAAAATATGATTAGCATGACTCTGAGGAGTTAATTTATATCCATCTTGTAAAAGTTGTTTGAAGGACCACCTGCCCCACATTCATGAACTTCACAGGATATCAGCACTTGGCAGGATAGGCTTTTAGTAAACAAATACACTATTGGCACTCCCAGACTACTTTTCAGCAGATGGAGCTTCGAAAGCACTGATGCTAAACCTCTCCGGTGGAAATTAGCAGATGAACTGAAACTGAAAGGCTGCAACTCCTGAGATGGGTGAAGGGGTTTTGTCATACACATGGTCACCTCTCTCCCACCTCCAACTCCTGTTTTGACAGGTGGTTTAGGACTTTCTTTTTTGTATCCTAAAATGTACAGGTTGTTTGAGATGGGGCAAAATTATGAATTTAGAGGTCACAGATGCTTTATGACAAAACAACAGAATTCTGTGAACACAGCTCTTTGATCATAAAGCTACTGAGTCTTAGGAACCAAGGAAAGCATTTTTACATTGAATATTCAGTTTTTTAAAAAATCCATACACCTGTAATAAATCACTAAAATTAGGAGTTCTTTAGCATAGTTTTATTCACTGATTTTAATTTGAGGCATCTTACCCTTTTATTATGGAGACCAAGTGAGAAAAACCTGACTACCTCCCTTTAACTTCCAGGCTGTGTCTAGTTCTCACCCGACTTTTCTAGGTTTGTGATTCCCTTATTCTTATCTAGGTTCTCTTGCTCTTTTCCTTTCAGTGTCCATTTCAGTCTTCCTTTTGTTATCACCTCTTGTCTCCTAAACTTGTGGTGCCTTGTTAGGGAAACTGACATTGTTCATGGGCATCTGGACTGCAGCTTGTGTTTGCCCAGCCTGCCCAGTTCTAACTATCAGTTGGCAGCACTTAAGTGTGAAACCCTTGAGGACCTGGGACCTACCAGCCCCTGATGGGAGTTTTGTTTGTTCTGTTTATTTGGGGCTGGTTTTTAACATTATTGAATGGCTTCTTTGTACAGTCAACCTTCAACATGACCTTGTGCAGTCTGGTTCCTACCTCTCAACTTGTACATGTAGTAGACATTTTATTTAGCCCTTGCAAGTTGATACCTTTATCTTTAGACAGCAGGACTCAAAGTTCACATATTGGCCTATAAAATGTTAACTAAGAGGACTTCTAAGTACCTTACATAATTGGATTGTTTATTATCTGCTTTGACCTGATACTGTTTCTTTACCCTAAACCCTGTGTCTTCTGGGCTTTAAAAACTTACATTTAGGGCAGGGTTTCTCTGCCTTGGCACCATTTTAGGGCAAGTACTTTTGTTGTAGGAGGCTGTCCTATGCATTGAAGGATGTTTAGCATCATCCCTGGCGTCTACCCACAAGATGCTAGTAGTACCCCTCCCTAGTTGTGACAACCAAATGTCCCCTGGGGGCAAAATTGCTCCTAGTTGAGAACCACTGGTTCAGAGTCTTCTGTTATATTTCCACTTCTGCAGTGATCTCCTTATAGAAATATAGAATGGTTCCAGAACTACAAATACCTGTACCTAAATGGTTAGAGAATGGCATGTTTACGGTCATGCCATTCATTCATTCATTCATTCATTCCATTATTCAGTGTACATTTATTGAATGTCTACCAGATACTATGCTAGATGTTGGAAAGAGAAAGGTGAATAAAACATGGTCCTGGTACCTATCTTAGTATATCAGTTATTCAGGTTACCATGTAGTACTGTGCATATAGCAGACTTAATACTAAATGTCTGCTGATAATTGGATGAATGATCATGTATAATAGAATGAGCATGGACTCCATGATCAGACACATTTACATTCATATCACAGTTTGCTGTTCACTACTTTCTTGCCACATAACCTTGAGCAGATTAACATTTCTGAAGCTTAAGTGATACAACGTGCAGTTTTTGGTGAAATCCCGAATTCCCATAAATGTGTCAACAAATAGTGACTGCTATTATTATTGTTACGATTATTTATTACTACATATTATTGAAAGGCTCCTGAATGTCTGATCTTGAATAAGTGACAGATCTATGTGAATAAGCAGGTTTAAAAAAAAATGGAATAAAAACGTGTCTGCGGCAAGGCAGGCAGCTGTCCAAGTCAGCTAGCACTGAAATTGCGTCCGTAGTAGGAGCCAGAGGTTGAGGGCTAGAGGTGTAAGGTCCATGAGACTTGGAAAGTAGAGCTGTTTGAGAGGATCATATATCACATTTGCAGAAAGGATTTAGAAAAGGCTTATAAGGTTTATAAGCCGATAGGAGTTCAAATAGCAAGATTTAGGACAACCTCCAACACTTTGTCGATTTAGAACTGAATTTGAATGCTCTAAAGGGTTTACCTGAAATCTGCTCACCTGCTTGTCTTCACATTGCTCTCTTCCTTCTCTGAACTCTAGGCTATTGTCTATATCTTTTGTTTTTCATATTTAAGCTTGAACTACTTTGTGTTATCACTCAGATCTGCATAGGACTGCTTTGCCTACAGAGCCAGGTTAGAGCTAATTGATGGCAAGAACAATGCATTTATACAGATGTTTTTCAGATCCATGTACCTACTTAGCAGTATTCCTATATTTGTGCAATGAAAGAGTGTAAATCAACACAGCTTTAAAACAGTGCATGAACAACAGTATTTCAATTGATTCTTACCTCTTTATAGCACTTCTGAGATCTAAAGGCAAAAGTGACCTCTCTTTATTGTGACATGTGATATACTGATATTTTACATAGTGATTACACTTTTTTTTTCCCGTCTTGGCAAGAATAGTTGATTTTTCTTTAATCTTAACCTGTCACCTACAATTAAGAAAATCAACCAGGTAATACTGAGTGACATTACTAAAGCATGCCTGAGCATACACATATCATTTATTTAATCTTAAAAATGTTTTTTGAGATAGCTAAGACAGTGTTGTCCTTCTTTTACTGATGGCTACCTTTATATGTTGTGTCAGATTTCAAGATTGTATTGGCTTTGAAAGTATCTTGAGTTTTACTTTGACATTGGTATTACTATTGAAAACTATATCCTTTCTATAAAATCCATATTCTCTGATAGAGTTGGGTATTCAGATTATTTATGTGTATTATCTTACATTTTTATTTGACTTTGATCATCTAAGTGGTTTGAAGTTGAGGATTTTTACCGATAATTTAGCATGTATACACTCATATGTAAGTGGCATTAGCATGACCAAAGTGTAGTAATATATTCTTTTAACATTTAAAATGTCTTTGGTTAAGATTGTTGCAAAATTATAAAGTTTACAGAGCCTTCAGAATGCTTTTTAAATAGTAAACTATTTGCTTCATCTGGTACCTTTGTTATTTCTTTTGTTTTGATTTTGTTTTTTAACACAGAAAAGCTGCACTGGCCTGAGCAAGAACTTGCTAAGAAGTCTGTTCTAAGTGCAGAAGAGTCATTGATCATTGACAGTAAAAGAAGCATTTCACATTTATCTCCTGGAATACTGAAGGACATTTTCACAACTGGAACCAGTAGTTACAATGTCCTACTGCAGAGCAAAGAGGAGAGAAAGCATCATTCACAGAAACAACCTTCCTCCACCTACTCCAAAAGATGTAGAAAACCCAGCAAATCCCCTAGCTCTTGTCGCAGTAAAGAGCTTCGCAAGATGAAAGCCCCAGTGCCCGTGGTGCGCAGCAGCACTTGGTGCTGCCTAGAAAGGCAGCCTGCTGCTTTTGTCACTAGTTCAGTGTCAAGTCCTGTAAAGTTTACACATGGTATCTCTGTTACAGGAAGCAGCATAGTACCGCCACCCAAACCCCCAAGCGAAAGGAGGGTCAAGCGATGCCACTTCTCTACTCTTCCAAAGCCAAAGCCGCAGCCTCAGCTCTCTAGAAGCTTTGAAAAAGGAGGTGACTTTTCTGGAAAGAAGTTTTGTATACTGACTGCTATAAAGCCCACCAACTTGGAGAAAGAAAAACTGAGATTCTTCAAGGCTGACTATACCTACAATCCTCAGTTTGAATATGCTAATCCTTCTCTGCCAAGTGTGTTAGCCAAGCACAGCAACGCATCTGACCGATTTCTTAAACAGGTAAAATCCTACTTCAGTAGTGGTATTTCATTTTTATGTAATGAAAATAAGTATTTGCAATTTTATGGAAAGCAAAAAAAAAAGGTTGTTTAAAAATGTTCCAGGTATTTATGTTTATAGTTAACTCCCATCCAGAACATGTAGATAGGTGACAGGAAATCTCCAGGTAAGTGGCACAGCCCATATGTAACTACTTTGCACTAATCAAAATCTATAAAGTTGCTTCGTGGCAGGAAGCAACTATATTAGAAAACAAACTCTTTAGATTTTGGTTCCAAGCTTTCATGTGGGAGTTACAAACTTGTGGCCCGTTTGTCAGCTCACAAACAGTGTTGTGTAGCCCACACTGTTTGTGTTCTCTTTTTGATTTTGACTGCTTTAGATGGAGTGTGTAATATCTCTGGTTCTCCCTGTTGTGTTACATTCTCAACTTGCTTAGGCCCCTAGAGGCATTTAGGGGACCTTGGCTTGATACTTGCCAATGAACTTTTTATGCTTTATTAAAAGTAGTAATCATCATCAAGTAAATATTTAAGTACTCAAAGAAGAAAATAATGGAATTTAAAAAATTATCTTCAAGGTTAGCAAATCATGATATAAATGATGTAAGCAACAGCTTCCAAATTGCTCAATTTAAATACTCAGCACATAGTTTTGTATGTTAAGGTCCTAACAAACTTCAAAATCCACTTAAGTATTTAAGGAGACACTGGCTGCTGTTTACCTTCAGGGCATAGTGTTGAGATCATAAAAACAGAGTACATTTGATTAAATTAACTGTGTACAGATTTTTAAAATGCATTAGGTTCGACTTGGCTTTGTTAGTGATTGAAAATCTGTTTGTAGCCTAGGTAAAGCTGCAGGGTTCCATTTGTCTGTGGTGAATGCCCTACTTTAGTATTTTGCTACAATGCAAGTTCTCTGGGCTTGTGGCCAGCAAATTTTTTATTCTTTCTTATAAATTACATGAAATCTGACCAGTCTTTAAAAACCATTATATAAAGATTATTTTAAAATTAAAATAACTTTAATCTTGCTGCTTATTTTCTTTTGTTAGAAGAAACCTTTTCTACTGCTTCTCTTGTTTTTTGAAGGTGCTTTTTATTGAAATAAGCTGAGATTGCTAAACACTGATAAAAAGGTCAGCTATTGTTTTTACTCTTATTTTGGCAGTCATTTATTTATTTATTTATTTTGGGGTGGAAATTGCAGTTGATTGAATAGGGTTTTCACTCATTTAAAACTTACGGTAATTATAAAGATGCTATTTGCTTTTTCCCTCCTTAATGCTAAAAGAGATGACTGAGATTTATTTCCCAATATTCTGTAATTTTGAGTCCTACCCCAAGCCCTACCAATTGGGAAAGGGATTTCCCATCATCAGGTCAAAATGGATGCTCTTTCATTTCCTTGAAGGGAGTTAGGAACCATCAGCAGCTCCAAAGATTGAGAATTGACAGTGCTTGGCCCATGGCTCTCCAATCTTTATTTTAATCCAATTCTAGCTTGAGGAGATAAAACTTATACTTGGGTTGCTTCAGATTTCTAAATAGCACCAGCAGTCCTAGCTGGCTGGTACTTCAACTGCCACCATTTGGGAGAATGATCTCAACAAATGCCAAATGTACTTTTTAAACCACTTTAATCAAATAAAGGAGATTCATCAGAACAAGATCTCCATAAAATATGCTTAAATTCCTGCCTAGCATCTGAGTGAATTCTGACATGGTATATCCTTTCCCTCCCAAGCTGTGAGGCTAAAGCAGCAACTTCAGGACTGGTCTCAGGACTCAGAAACGTGTTGCACAGAGGGACCAGGATGGCCAGATGGCCCATGCTTGAGGCCTTATCAACCCCTAGCTGACAGTTCCCCAGGTTTCATGATCTGGATCCTTCCAAGACAGCAAGCTGTATTGTTATTGGAAGAGTGATTGTGGTCCTGTTCAGTGCGCAGATTGATAGAACAGTGGTAACCTTTCTAGGCGCAGATAAAGTGTCCCACAGGGGAGCGAAGGCAGTGCTCAGGTTCTGGTCATTCCTAATTGGTTGCCCTGTCAATGTCAAGGAGCTCCAGGACTCAGTTCTTCCTTGTCCAGGCTGTTGATTCCTCAGAAGGCACTCAGGCCCTTTAGGTGGTTCATGGTATCTATCACTGGCTGTAGAACTTGAACGTGTCTCCAGTGGAGCCTGCTAAGCCCCACTTAGCCTCTTGCTGGCAGCCGTGGTGGCCCTCAGCTCCCTGAGCCTTGAGGAACAGACGCTGAGAAGGTTTGTTTTCTGAGGCTGTAGACCTTTGCAGGAAAGGGTGCAGTGCTTCCTGAGTGCTGAAAAAGGCATCTAGGCTGAGAGAATGCTGAAGGCTGTTCAGGGTCAGGTGCCTCCTCACCAGTGGGTCAGAAGTAGATCCTTGATGGCACATTTGAGCAGTAACCTGGTAGCTGGTACACTTTCTGCCCTACCTCTCAGTGGCCGACATCAAATCCATATAGCCATAGACTCAGCACATTGTTGAACAGAATTGGAAGTGAGAGATGAGAAGGATCTTCAGGGCAGTGATGGGAGTCCTTGGCAGTATTTCCAACAGTCAAATGGAAATTATATATTTACGTGACAAAGCCAACAGGCAGCTTAAGTGACTGGTTTTCCACCTCTAGCTGGAATCATATCTCAGGGTGGATCCTAGCTACCTCATGCTAACTAGAAGTTCTGATTGGTAGAGTGATATTTAATAACATAGGGAAGATAAGTCAACTTCTGCTTGGCTTGATAAGGTAAAGTTTGAATTATATTCTTATTTGTTAATAAAACTGGAGCAGTGGGGGTTATTAGTGATTGATAAGTGCAGAATTTTTGTGTGAAAGAAGGAAGGCTTTGGGGTGTTAGATAGAAATGCTGGACTGAGGCTACCCTCTGGCTGTCAGAGAAGAAAAGTTAAAGGTGTGCAAAAGGAGGTAGCTGAACAGGCCTGAGACTGCCATCCTATTAACCTGAGCCTGGTGTCTGGGAACTTGACTGGGAAACAGCTTTCTACACTGAAATAATCCTTTTCGTAAATGATAAGAGTAGCTTGCTGTACCTAAACTGTGCAAATGGTACTTTTTATGTTGAACACTTATTTTCCTTTCTGGAGTCTACAGTTTTAGAATATGCTGGGCACAGGGGTGCTTTTGTGACCAGCCTCCGATAAAAACCTTGGGCAATGAGTATGTAACAAGTTTCCTTGGTAGACAGATCTTTACACATTCTGACAACTCAGTTCCTGGAGAAGTTAATTGTATCCTGTGACTTTACTGGGAGAGGCTCCTTTTTGAAGCTGCTTCTGGTTTCCTTCAGACTTTACTGTACTTTACATGAGAAATGGGGAGTGGTGGGCTTAAGTTGATTTCTTAAAGGCATTTACATTTCAGATTTTAGAAAAAGAAGAAAAAACTCTGTACTGTCCAACTGAAACATCTCCGTGGGCTGTATTCGTTGTCAGTTTGAGATTCCTGATCAGTTATAAGATCACTTATAGCTTTGTAAAGGGCTATTGTGTTGCACAATTCCAGGGAGTACCATTCACAAAGTGAACCTGGGCTCTACATTCATACAATAAATAGGGCTAATATTTACCGTAAGCATGAGATTCTTTTTTTGGCATTGTAATACTCCTCTAACACTTTTTAGTTGTATGATATTTGTCTTAAAAGGGCAAGTAAATTAAATGTATGCCAAGTTAGAAATTTTGCATGTAGGGTAGCTGGGAAAGAATGAACAAAAAAAGCATACCTGTTCTATTTTGAAATTTTTGGCAGTGCCTTTTTTTCAGGACCCTTGCTCCTTCATTATTCTATTAAAATTGCTTTGAAATTTAAGGACAAAGTCATAGGAACCATCTATGTATGACAAATTACAACTAGCATTGATAGAGTGCTTAATTCTGCTTGTTATTCTGTATGCTGAGTACTTTTCTCTGATTACCGTCTTTAGTCCCTCATATGAAGTACAATACTAGTAGTATTACCAGTTGAAAAAACTGATCTAGAGAAGTAAGTTTTCTGTCATTTCTGTCATAGTAGTAAGTGAAGTTGCGGAAACAGGAGTCTACCTCAAGCACTCTCTTGTCTTTCACACAGTGCTTTGTTGGCAAACTAGCTCTCAGTTTCCATCATGTAACATGTAACATTTGCAAATTAATAAAGGTTGAGTCAGCTCTGACAAGCCAGCATGATCCGCTCCAGCAGAGCACTGTTTCACAGAATGGTTTTAACCAGTCTTTTCTAACCCTAATGCACCCAAAGGGTACCAGATCAAAAGATCCTCTCACTTTGCTGGCAAGGATTCATGCCTTTGGTAAAAATGATTTTAGGGACTTGGAGGATATTTTTCTTTGTAATACACCTATGAAATAGTGATTGTTAGTTAGTTTTTGGGATCTTTAAGATGAGAGTATTTACCTTCTTCCTGTTACGGCACCCATCCTCATCTTTCAGCTACAGCTTAAATCTCAACTCAAAGTACAACACTGACTAGTGCCTTAGGAGGAATGGGTCAAAAGGTCAAAACTGGGCTCCTAGTTTCTAAACTGAGTAAATATTTGAAAGAAGTAAATACAAGGGCTCCTCAAAAAGGCTATCCACCACATTTTAGGTGGCTGGTTTTCTCTCTCCATGTCCCTTTGACTCTGTCAGAGACAAAGGAGAAATATCCCTTCCATTACAGCTCCCATGATACACACTTTTTCTCTGTTGACCACTGTCCTCATCATTGTATTTCACCTGTTTCCTTTCTATTTCACGTGGAGTATACACAGTCCAGAATTGACAAGAGGGTAAAATAAAAGTACTTATTTTCAAATGAAACAAAATAATTGAAAATAGCTTTCAAAAACTTATTCAGCAATGAAGTAGTGTGTCCATCGTTTTCCTATTTCTAAGACTTTATATTTTCAAAATAGTTGTTATTTGCAAATACAGAATTTGATTGCCTGTATTGATGGAAGGAAACATTTATATGGATTA